GATGGCGGGTAACAGTGATAAACTTTTTTGCATCTTTTTAGGGTCTCAATATTGACATTTTTGGCAAAATTCAGCTTGTTCAGATGATTTTTAGAGGCTCAGTGGTATTTTCGTCTCTGACGACTGGAGTAAAAAGCGAGTAAATTATTGAATTCTTTATAGAGCTAATTAATAATATTTGTTTTTAGCATTAACATTTAACAATTAATAAACGAACTGAATATTTTCCGTAACTCTATTATTCCAACCATCATGATTAACTATCAGAAGGTGTCAACCTGCTCAAGTTCTCTTCTACATTCTCTACAACTATACTATGTTCCCATAGTTCGTGCTGAAACTTCGTTTTCTTAATCATTAACATTCATCGATTAATTGTATATCTGCGTGGTAACTCCTTAAGGAAAAGTCAAGTGTCTAGCTAGAAACTAGACCAAAGAACCATTATATTGAATTATTGAATTTCGGGTCGATAAGTCAAGGCCACCAAATTTACAAATAACTTCCGAGAGAGTAGACTTAGAGTTTTGATAACGTGATGAGTAGGTTTCTCTGCGTAAAAGGAAGTCAATTGAATTTAGGGTCGATAAAGTCTTGAGACTTCGGTTTGACCTTGAACATTCGGCAAAATCTTAACTACCATTCAAGAATTATGGTATATTCTTCAATGCTCGGTTGCATATGTTTATTTTTAATGGTTTTCTGTAAAGCCCAAGCTTACAGCAGCGTCGTAAGAACTTTGCTTTATTGATTGTTGAAGACATCAGCAATCGTGTATGTGGTCAAAGCAGCCTTTTTTGAATGTATCTTGAACTAATGCAAGTAATAAATATGAACACACAGTATAATTCCCATGTGGTCCCAACCACCGGAATGACGTCGCATTCATTGTACATAAAGAAATCTCTTCCTGTATTAAATCTGTGTTACATTTCGGAGAGAGTCATCGTGATGGAATTAAACACAAAACCAGTAGACATAAATCTAGTCCAAGTTGTATGCGCCCACAACCAGCAGTAGTGAAGATGACGTAGAGAATTTTTATGATGGTATAAAGAAGGTAATGAGTCAGCTGAAAAAGAAAGACATTACTATAATAATGGGGGGCTTCAATGCCAAAGTAAGATAAGGTAGACAAGGAAACATTGTAGGGAATTTTGGACTTGGATAACGTAATGACAGAGGAGACCGTTTTGTAGAATTCTGCGATCTTTGTGTGACAAATACATTCTTCAAACTACCCAAGCGTCGTTTATATACTTGGAAGTCACCAGCAGATACTAAAGAAAAAATTATAAGAAATCAGATCGATTATATAACAATTAACAAGAGGTACCGAAATTCAATCAAAATATCTAAACACTACCTGGAGCCGATGTCCCCTCAGATCATAACTTATTAATCAGTGACATAAAACTCAAACTTAAACTCAGGCTAACCGAATAAACACTGACTGTATTCAAAATAATAGTCATGAAATTACACAAGAGATAAAAAAGAAGTTCGAAAAATCGAAAGAAACACATAACATCGAAGACCACTGGAATCATGTCAAAAGCATTATGTAAGAAACAACTAAAAAGCATGATACTATGACTATAAGATAAGATATTGCGCATGTTTTTGTGACGTCATTGGAGAGTTGCACGTTCGAAATGTCAGTTTTTTGTATATATCAATAAATAATCTTTAATAAATAGTTTGGAGATATCCTTATGTGTACGAATATTGTAATTATTAAACCTCTTAACTTATTTTCGTCTAGTAATTTCATCACAGAATGCATACAAATCCCATTTAACTTTAACAAGAATTCAAATTCTACTCTCCAATGACGGCATGCGCGAACCCGACCGATTTTGAGCTACAGGAAGATCCTATCTTGTTATTCATAGTATCATGCTAAAAAGTATAAAACTATTAATAATCGCAAACAACAATGGATGACTGATGAAATATTGGTACTAATGGAAAGCACGCGAAATCAGAAAAATAAAAACACTGAAGAATACAATAAAATTCATAAAGAAATCAGAAGGAAAATCCGGGATGCAAAGGAAAATGGTACAGCAACACATGTCTTGAAATAGAAGAACTGCAGAAAAGGAATGGCACGTTTAATATGTACAAAAAGGTGAAAGAAATAACTGGAACATATAGATCAACTGCAAGTAGTTTACTTGATAAACACGGAAATATTATAGTCAATGAACAAGACAGATTAGAGAGGGGGAAAGAATATATTAAGGAGCTGTTTGTGACGATAGAACAGAAATTCAAATCAAAAATATATCGACTGGTCCAATAAAATTCTAAAGTTATAATATTTCGGTCATATAATGAAACATCCCGAGAGGTATAACCTTCTACACCTCATAACACAGAGTAAGATCTCCGGAAGGAGAGGCCCAGGCCGACGAAGAACATCCTGGCTCCGAAATCTCCGAGAATGATATCAAGAGACCACCGCTAATTTATTTAGAGCCGCCATAAACAAAGTTATTATTGCCAATATGATCGCTAACGTTCGATAATCGGACAGGGTACTGAAAGAAGAAGAATTACGTTACCAAGTTTATTTCCTTAACTCTCCTTGCCGATCCCTAGAACGCCAAATTTTCCATTTTTGAAAGCAGGTGAAAGCATACCTGATGAAATTATATAACAACGGTGGGTACTACGTAAAAGTAGTTCATGAGTTATATGTTGTGATTCCGCCTAATCATGCCGAGAAGGGAGATAAAATAAAAAAGGTTGCTTTGAAACACCTGGTATAGTGCTCCCTTAGGGTGGCCGCACACAGAAAGAGCAAAACTGTTTTAGTCAAAAACGTTTTTGTTTGAAACGAAAACGTTTTTATTTCCACAAGAAACATTTTGTTTTCAAGAGAAACAAACTGTTTGCACAAACCATACTGCAATCAGTCTTATTAAAGATGTCGACAGATTACGACGAAATTGCACTAGTTTTCTGGCAGTGGTTCCTCCTACAAGACGAAAAAACAAAATATCGCTGTTTCCACATGTGCTTCTTGTTGACTATTCGAGCGGTTTCAAAAAGGGAATTCCAAAAACACGCTGCGCCTGCGTACATTGAAATGTTTTGAGACAAAACGACGATCAGGTAATTAACATCAAACAGACTGACTGAAACTAAATGAGCTTAAACATGCTTTAGACACACGACTAATCAGTGTGCGTCCGCTCATTTAATTTATATGGAAATATCAGCATCAAACTCGTTTAGTCAAAAACGTTTTTGACTAAAACAGTTTTGCTCTTTTTGTGTGCGGCCACCCTTAGCTACGAATATGGAGTATAGTCATTATTATCGATTTTATTTGCTCTGGAGTGAGAAGTTTTTACACCATTTTTACGCAAATTTTCTACGTTTTCATTCATACGACACTTTATTTGTCAATTGAGATTTTAGCAAGAGCTCGGACATCAATTATGTGGATATGCTTATGAAGTTGAGGATAGTCAAAGTCTTCTCCAATCGTCTTCGGTTGTTTCACGTCCCTCCTTAAACCTTTTAACATACTCGAAAACTTGTGTGGGCGATAAAAATTCAGTTTCTTACAATTCGTTTGGTACGTCATGAACTCATGACGGTTTTCTCAGTTATTACCGTCTAGAATGCTAAAAAATGACACATTTTCAACAATTTTTTTTTATCTTTTTTATTATGTATGGCAATTAAACTTCTTTTATATTATTATATGACAATTAAAGATCACAAAAAATAGAGGACAGGTAATCTCTAGAACGGCAAATCGGAAACATAAAATTCGAAAAAGGTCTTAAAAAAGAAGTGCCTTTACGTGATAGTTTACCAGAAAAATTGAAAATTCTTAAAAAAAAACAAAATCGCAAACATTGGGAGAAATTGTTCAAAAATTGACCTTTTTTTAAGTTTGTCGTTTCGCGGTCCTCCGATAGTTTTGATGAAACGACCGCAAGAACTTGAACAACGATTGAAAGAGATATTAACAGCGACGAATCGGCATTAACGTATCGATAAATCTGCGGTTGCATGAGAACAGAATCTCTAGAAAATTACTAAACGCAAGAATGCAAGAAAAACACGTGTGGGAAAAACACGTTCACGGAAAAGAATAACCGTAGATCGAGAGATATTTGAAGAAGCTTACAGAAGGAGGCCAAGCCCCGACCTGCGCTGTACGAAGATAGATTGATATTAAACTAGCCTTTGATAGATTCTTGACATGACGTCTGTCAAAATTTTAAGTTTTAAAAACAATTAGTTTGGCAAAAAAAGTCTAGTATCGTTCGGTGATTAAGTTCCTCCACAAAAAGGTTAAAATGGCTCGGAGTACGCCGTGTCGCAACAAATGATGAAGTCGTCACTGAAACTTCGGCCTATTTTGAAGAGCTCAAGCAAAAGTGCTATTTGGAGGGGATAAAAAAATTGGAACATCGTCTTACTAAGTGTATCTAGCTAAAAGGGGACTATGTTGAGAAATAAATCGATTTAATTCCAAAAAACTTGTTTTTTTCTATCAAAGGCTAGTTTTATATCAATCCACCCTCGTAGTGTCATTGGATGGAAAAAGCTTATTTGTGGCGCAGCCAAATAATTATCGAAAATTTCACAGACATACGTTCTTTCCGTCTCCAGTATATCATTTTATTTCGATATCATTTGGACCATTAAATCGAATCTCGCAAAGGTTCGCAATCTTTATCTTCTATCCATCTTTAACAGTATGTATGTTCTAATCAAAAACATGTAAATAAACCTGTAACACAAATTGCTGCATGCTTTTTATTTGATTCATTTTTTGCTTTATAAATAAATTATTTAAATTTGTTTGCAATTCAAAAAGTTTTAGTGTTTTAAAAAATGTGATTAAAAATACAAAAATGGAGCACTTTGCATATCTTGAGAAATACCAATCCTAACAGAATGTTGCAATGTTTGAGCTACTCCAATACCTATTCCTTTCCCTTTTTATTAAATATTTTCTTTTCACAAAGGGTTACCTTAAAAGTTTGGGTATGGCCCGAACGGCAGAAGTAAAACGAGACGCGAGAATTGGTGAAGCTGAAGCTAGAGCAGAAGCACAAATCAAAGAAGCCATCGCCGAAGAACAAAGAATGGCCTCCGTCTTCTTAAACGACACAGAAATTGCGAAAGCAAAGAGAGACTTCGAATTAAAGAAGGCAGCTTATGATGTAGAAGTACAAACGAAAAACGCCGAAGCTGAAATGGCTTACGAGCTTCAAGCTGCCAAGACCAAACAGAGGATCAAGGAGGAACAGATGCAGATTCAAGTGGTAGAAAGGACCCAACAAATTGCAGGTAAACTACATTCACATATTTATCATTAGACCCAAAAATGGTATTGTGTTTGGCCCAAATTGTTAAAGTCTTTTTGTAGAGTGAGTAAAAATTTGTAATATACTGATTTACTTTTTACTTAATTAAATCAATATTTTTATTTTATTTCTTTTTTTTTAGTACAAGAACAGGAAATTGCCAGACGAGAACGGGAACTCGAATCCACGATTCGCAGACCAGCAGAAGCAGAGAAATTCAGATTGGAAAAAATTGCCGAAGCCAACCACAAACGTGTACTTTTAGAAGCCGAAGCCGAGGCTGAATCTGTAAGATTAAGGGGAGAAGCAGAAGCTTTCGCAATTCAAGCTAAAGCCGCAGCTGAAGCTGAACAGATGGCCAAGAAGGCCGAAGCTTGGAAAGAGTACAAGGATGCAGCTATGATTGATATGTACCTGGACGTATTACCAAAGGTAATTCATCAATACATTAATTGAGTGTCTTTTCGTTTTGATCAATATCAGCCGATCTTTGGTGTATTTTTGATTTAGATACTTTCAATTATTTTTTAAATGTCATATAATTTTTTGATTAGGTCGCTGCAGAAGTTGCTGCTCCTTTGTCTCAAGCCAAGAAGATTACTATGGTATCTACAGGAACAGGTGAAGTTGGTGCTGCTAAGCTTACAGGAGAAATTCTTGATATTGTCAACAAAGTACCGATGCTTGTTAAGAGTATGACTGGAGTGGACATTTCCAAGGTAACGAATACTAAATTGTCTTTTTGTTACGTTACATATTTTGTCGTAACCATAGTTAACTATCTTAAACCATATGAACCGTATAGAAAACCATTGTTGTTGTATTTGTATGGAATTGTTCTCCAGATTGTTCCTTTTATTAAAAAGTATGCTAATGACATTATTATGTAGTGTCCACTAGGGTTTTAGACTGAACTCTTAGACATTTTCAATAGCTATGACCCCCACATTCAATTTACTCTTGAAAAAGTAGATCAAAACCAATCTGTTCCTTTTCTTAACACAATGTTCACCAGAGAACTGGATAACATCAATAAAATTAATTGGTATAGAAAAAAGTGTAACTATGGGAGATATCTCAACTACCATTCTTACCACAAGTCAAGTAAAACAAATGACCACAAGAGTTTGTAAACCAGCTGACCCTGTTTTTAGAAAGAAGAATCTCAACATTCTTTTACAATTGTTCCTAGATAATTCTTACTCCGAATTCTTACCCAGGAAAATCCTTTTTAACATATCCCCTGTTATACTCAACACACAAGTGAGCCCTCCCCAAAATACAGGTGCTATGAAAGTTAGCTCTGATTCCCATTCACTGACTAACAATATTCCTAAAACATCTTTTGTATCACTTCTATTTATTAATGACGTCTCCCCCAAATTGACCAGAACTTTTGCTCAATATTTACCAAATGTAAAAATTGCTTATAAAAGCACTCTAGTTGTGGGATCTTTGTACAAGTCATTGAAAGTCAAAGTAACAAACTCAGATAAAAGTGATGTTGTATACAAGCTTAGTTGTTTAGGCTGTGAAGTTTTAGGCTGTGAAGGTTCTTATATAGGTCACGCTTCCCAAAACAAGGATTCTTCACATGAGTGACATTAGGCTACACCCTGATAGATGTTCTCTAGCCTCACATGCTAACACAACAGGGCACTCTTTCGTTTTTCCGAATGTATTAATCCTATCCAAGGAGAGCAATTATTCAAAAAGATTGTTTTTCGAGATGGCTTTCATTTTTCAAGAGAAAGAAACCGTTAATAAAAATACAGATACCTACAATTTAAGCAAATTATAATCATTATTTATAACTTTAGATAACCACAAAAAATCTACTAATAAAGGCAATTCATCGTCAACAATATAAGTTTCATCATATATGAGATATGTAATATCTCTTTTACTTCATAAAATAAGTCTTTTGGTCTCTTCTTTTTCAGAAAATTCAGTGTCAATTAGGTATACTATTACTTTTACAGTGTTATCATTTTAAGATCTAACGTTCTGTCATTTTTAGTTGGTAGTAATGAATTCACAACCAATTCTTTTGTTTCTGATAAGAATATTTATGACCTAAATTTTATGTTATGACTACATGTTCTGCAGTTATTTTAAATTTTATTTAAATGTTTTTAAATATGTGTTTTGTGAAAGAACGTTTTTTAAACAATTTTTTGGATAATTTTCGCCATTATTTGTAGGAGTCAGATGAGTTGTTCATTTAATTTTATAAACATCATGACAACTAACCTCAATTAGTGTAAAATACAAAATAATTTGTATTCTGTAATTTATACTAATTTTGATTATTGTTAGCACCCTGATCATGCAAATAAAGATTTGCGAACGCTTGGTATATAAAAAACAGGACTTCTTTGTCGTATCTTCCGCTGCATTTCCAGATAGTTGTGTTTGTAGTCTAACTGATCAGCGTTGATTACAAGCGTTTATCGTTTTTTTTAGTATATATATATATATATATATATATATATATATATATATATATATAATATATTATATATTGTTGTTAATACTTTGAGCAGGGAACCTCATCATGCCATCTATAATATCTATTCATCCAGGAAGTTTTTGTATATCTACAGGCTTTATATTTGATAAATTCTCTTATTTTACTCAGTGGTTTGAGAGTATAAGTATGTATTATCTATGACATAGAAGCTGCATTCTGGTACATGATTACCTTCAATGGTTTCAGGCACTTTCTTGGTAGAAAATAATCTGTATGTATTCACGTTAAATACACAGTCCTTTTTATTAATACGATCTTTAAGTTAAGTTAATTCGTCGATACCGCGAAGAAGGCTACAATATCGTCTATTTAGATGAGTCACGGGTAAACGTAGGCCACAGGGTATCAAAAGAATGGATAGACACGTCCATTAAATCTCATAGAGATGTATTTGTTTGTGGCCTGACTACAGGCTTAAAAGCTCCTGCGTCTCGTGGTCCTAGTAAATTTTCAAAACAATAATTTAACCTCGAAATGGGTTTAATACAAATGTTTTTGTATGGTTAAGACTTTTACATCTTGAATTATTGTTTTCAACATTGCCTAACATAAAATTATCTAAAACATGAACATTACAAATGGAATACAAAAGGAATTCATCATCATCATAAGTGGCTCGACAATCGGATCTTCCACAGGCCTCTCCTGTCGATTCCTAGCAACTTCCCTCCATCTTCTAACCCTTAAATTCTGTAGGTCTTCTTCCACATCATCAATCCATCTCATCCGTGGTCAACCTCTGCTTCTTGTGCCCTCTGGTTTTCAAAATGTTAATCTCACAAAAGGATTTATTTATGATAATTTACAGAATGAGCGAAATATGGCAAACCCGCTTGCAGTATACAACCACACTGACTCTAACGTTTGAAACGAAGTTTCCTTGACTTCTGGCGTCCAAACGCTCTCTCTCTGTCCTTGTTCCTATCGCCTGATTTACATTGAACGGTTACCTATAGTTTAGTTTAAACACAATATTCCTCGACGTTAGATCTTTCTCTCGCCTATTTGGATGTTTCGTTAGGTAATTATTTTAAAATGCATGCATGATAGAGAAAAGAGACATAAAAGAATGACTGTATCTCGTTAGCGACTTCTAGCTGCATAAATAAACATTTAAATTATGCATGTTCTCGTGGCAAATAAAAACCTTAAAATTTATTATATACAAAGTTGGCATAAATTGCTACAATCTGAATGATGTTGATTTTCTCTGAGAAATAATTAACTAAACGTGTGATAAAAAAAATAGGATAGTGATAAAAAAGGCCTCCGATAGAACTGTACTCAAACTATCTGCATATCTCTATTTCTAGTCTATAAATTATCTGCATATATATCTAATTGCGTTTCTTTTTCAGTCGGTCCATGCCGCTTAAACATCACAAGAAGGAGAATATTAACTGAATCAGCTTCTTATTCAACCTTTGGAAGTTCTTGTTAATCCAGCTAAATCCAACATTATAATCTTATAAACTTTAAAATATTATACCGATTTTACGAATATTCGAATGTTATAATTATGAATGTTATTTTATTTTTATGTTTTATTATTTGAGAAAAATTGGCTTTTATAGGAAACAGAACTTAAATATTTTAGTAATTAGTATGTGTTTAGTAAATGTTAATAAAAATACTAGGTTTCTAAATGTAGGGCAAATATACAATTGATAGGTTTGTAGTTTCCTTTTGGAGGCAGCTCTCGTACATCTTAACATACATCTGTTCTGCATTCTTAGTATTCTATTTACGATGATTCTATCAATACAGTAAGTCTATTACTGGAAGACATTATAATAAAACATTTCTAATTGGGAAAGTTAGAACTACATACGGAATAAAAAATAGTGGCTGTTATACCAGAAGTAATGACGTATGACATAAGATCCGCCATATTTGAAAGAGGCGTGGTTTGTAGGACTATTGGAATCAGTTTTCCCATGATAAAGTGACTGATTTCCTACTGTATTTTATTTTTTAGGTTACTTGAAATTAGGTCCCGTAACTTTTCGTGGAGCATTATATTTTACAAGTGAAGTATTTCTAAACCATATTCAAGTACTCCAAGAATTAAGTATAGGCGGACAAGTGTTCATTCTTCTTGATTAATAACAATAATCTACAACCTAACCTCAAAAATAAATACTAGCTTTTTCTATCACATTTACAGTTTTTTAAATCTCTTCAGAAAACTTACTCTGTTTTTTCGTCTCAGGAACAATAGATCTGATTAGATGGGGATACGATTGTAATTCTAGATATAATATTTTTGATAAAACAGTTTTTGGTGCAAACCTAGTATTTTGAAAATTGTTGCTTGTTCAAATTTTAATTTTTAGACGGTCTGTTTCCTGTATTTAACCCTGCAACGTGCAATGTTTGTAGTGTGAGGCACTTGAAACTTAAAAAAATTTATTGATGATATTGAAAGAGATATTGGAGTTGGGGCATGCATAAAAACATAAATACCTCTATTTTTTGTATCCTTAATATATTTCTCTAATATGTACATTATTTTAATAAATGTGGTTATCCAAGCTATATGTTTGCATTATTATTGAACATTTTTTGCTTCCTTTTATCCAAGATAGTAAACAAATTAATTTTTACCTACCAAAACCTACCAATTTTTTGTAGTGGGATGAATAAAAATGAAACTTGTTACATTCGATGCGTAAGAACGTTAGGAAATTTTGTGAACTAAAGTTATGATGTCGAAATGAAAATTGCAATATTGAACAAGGAAAATGCATTTTCCAAAGTACATTTCGAAGTGATGAAAAATGATAAATATGTAATTCGTAAATGAGTTCAATATTACTACTTCTCCTGAAGTTTGTAGCAATTCGATAAAAAATCAGTGCAAATTCGTTGTTCGGGAGTTTTTGGGATAGCTGATCACGAATATCATGACAGTGATGGTTTTCGATGCCCCTAGTGCCCAGATGGTCCCCGTCTCCTAGAGTTTATTGAAAATTCGATACAAAATCAGTGCAGACTCGTTACTCGGGGTTTTTTTTGCGGTCGGGAAACACTAATATAAAATCGGCGATGATCTTTGAGGCCCGTGGTGCCCACTAAGGGCCTCGTTTCCTGGAGTTTTATGGAAATTTAGTACAAAATCAATGCAAAATCGTTCTTGGGGGTTTTGAGGTCGCTAAACACTACCATCATGTCAGCAATGATGTGTGACTTATTCGCTTCGTATAAGTGTCAGGAAATTTTGTGAATAAAAATGATGGTGTGAAAATTAACATTGCATTGACGAAGGGCAAATGCATTTTCCAAAGTACACGTCGAAGTGATGAAAAATGATAAATTTTTAATTGGTAAATGAGTGCCATATTACTACTCGGAAGTTTTTGGAGTTACTGAACACGAATATCATGACGGCGATGGTCTCTTAGGTACCTGGTGCACATGGATCATGTTTCCTGTAGTTTTGTGAAAATTTACAAAAATATTGCAAATTAAGATGGTTCTCGTCTCCTGGAGTTTTGTGGAAATTAGATAAAAAAATCAGTCAAAACCCGTTACTTGGGGATTTTTGGGGTCGCTAAACATTAATATTAAATGAAAAATTGTATATATTAAGCTGCGTTTAAATCAAAGCGAACATAAACGAAGGAACGAATTCGTACGTGTTCGCTTGGTCATTTGTTTACTACAAAGTACGGCCATTTACATTGTAGCGAAGGTTCGCATTAGTTGATCGGTTGATGACCCGTCCGCAATGTCGGAGACAGATGAAGATGTAATCATTAGCGCTGCTAGTTTTACAGTATTTGGAGGAACTCCCGAAAAAAAAAGGAAGAAGAGAATATGGTGTTCAAATTTGTTTAAAAAGAGGAGATAATACCTTGTCAATTGATTCAACGACTAACAATTTAGGTCAAGTTACAAATTTCTGTATAATGTCTATAGATGATTTTGAAATTAAATTTAAAAGCAAACCACCAAAGATTGTACCAACAATACACTGTGTCAGTCCCACTATCTGACTTTTTTGAAAAGCCTTTGAAGCTCTTTTTCCTAGAAGAACCATTTCGAAACTCTTATTTCTATTCTGTCAATGACCCTTTGTGTAGTATTCATGTTATTTCTTATAGATTCGTTAGTCTTCCTTTTCTGCCTTGATGTTCTAGCACTTCCTCTCAAATAATCCATTTCAACTGCCAACAATCTTCTCTTCAGGTCTGTATTAATTGTCCATACTTCAGAGCCATAACAAAGAACTGCTGCAACCATGGTTTGCCTTATTCTTTTTTGTTCCTGTTGGAAATGTTGCGATCCCACCATAAGGAGTTCAGACATCCTACAATTTAACGTTCCTTATTAATTCGGTGTGTAATTTCGGTTTCTCCCAAGCCGTTCATAGCAATCAGTGCACCTCGGTCATTCTCGTCTCAATGATGCCAAAAGTGAAGGAATCTTTTTGTAATTCAGAGATATCACAGACTGGATATATATTTTATTAGAAACAACGGTCAGAGGATTGCAAACAATTTATAGAGCATTAATTACTATTTAACTGGGAATTTTACTGTTTGTATTTTGAGAACGATTTCCGAAGTGGAAATTGAAATGTTAATAAACGTATTTTTATCTTTAATTGTGGCTTATTCTCAGTTAAATAGTAATTAATTTACAATGCCAAAAGAAAATAGCTTCAGAACAATTTATAGAGCAATTTTGAAAATAACAAACAACAAAAATCCATCGAGGGTCATTAGAACCAAATTAAAACGATTGTAAACAGCTTAACTCCTAACTTAAAAAAGACAATAATCGAAAAAAGCAACAGTGGATGAACTAAGATATTTTGAATCGAAGGTACAAAGACGCAAAAAATACGAACTACAAAAGAAACATGCTTCGAAAATAAATGTTTGGAAATTGAAAAGTTATAGAAAAAACATCATCCATTTAATATGTATAAAAAAATAAGTAACGGATCAGTACAATAAACAAATATCGTTGATAGACACGCCAAACTGATTATCACTGATTTGGATAAAATCGACAGATGAAAAGACTACATTGAGGAACTGTTTAATGATGAAAGGCCCGATCTTGAAATTAAAGAAGTAGTGACATGCCCTGACATAACTATGGATGAAATTAAACGAGCAATAAGATACGCAAAAGCCAGAAAAGGGACGGAGCCGGATGAAATACCGAGTGAAATAATACAGCTCTTCGAAAGTTCAGGTAAAATATGTCTTTCATTTTTTTAATAAAATTTATTAAACTGGCTATATACCAACGGATTGGCTGCTGTCGACCTTTGTGATGAAGCACTATTTAGTATTCAGGTTATGGTAAAGAGTTTCAGAGATATGTGTTTGATTGACTTTGAGAAGAAGGCCTTTGATCCAGCAAAACATACTGAAATAATAGCCATTCTTCAGCAGGTAGGTATTGATGATAAATACCTACATATTATTAAAAATATTTACTGGCATCAACGTGCAAACAGCAGGATTGGGCAGGATAATTGTAAAGAGCTTTAAATACGAAGAGAAGTAAGCATTTTGCCCCACTAATGTTTAACATATATTCGGAATTCCTTTTCATTAAAGCATTGGATAGTGTTCAATGTGGTATCAAACTTAATGGCATCAATATTAATAATTTGAGGTACGCAGATGGCACAGTGTTAATTGCAAATCATAATTACGAATAACTTCAACATATGATTAACGTGTAACAAAAGATAACCACAACGTATGATTAATATAGACTGAAGCTAAACACCACAAAGACAAAAGTAATGGTTGTCAGTAAACCACCACTACAACCAGAAGTGATAACTGCTTATGGAGAACAACTAGAGCGAACCAACAGTATCACTTATCTTGTGTATCTGGGTATCTTGGAGAATCCTGCGAATAAGTTGGATAGATAGAGTTCATAACGAGGTTGTTTTGCAGCAGATGGGAAAAGTAACGGTCAGAACAGTCAAAAATCGCAAACTATAATATTTTGGCTTCGAAAGAGATATAGTATCATATCATTTATGATATGATATTTCCATATAAGGCAAGATAGGTGGAAGAAGGGAGCTAAGTCGAAGACGAAACCTGAGAGAATGGTTTAACAGATCCTTTGCATCCGTTTTCTTAGCAGTCGTCAACAAAATTAGTATAGCCAATGTGATAGCTAACGTACGATAATCGAACAGGGCACAAGAAGTCCGTCCATGAGATTATGATTGATTCACTTTTTCTTCCCTTCGGTTTTCTTGAAATACTATGCTCTCCATAACATAGGTACGTGATATATATCCGAAGAATGTTAATATTTTAGAAAATCATGAAACTGAAGAGACATTGTAGTTTGATCATCGCCATAAGAACAGATATATTTGTTTTTCTGGCTGTCCAAGATATGCAAACCATTTTTCTCCAACACTCTTATCTCAAATGCACTCGTTTCCTATATATTTTTCGAATGGTTCACGTTTCAGAGGCATGGCATAATATTAAGAAGGATCAGTGTTTGTAGAATATTGCTCTTAGTGTTTTTTGTTGTGTGTTTTTCTATAACAAGGTGTTATGGAAATCGTGAGGTTGGACATGTGGTTTTCTGTCTTCCATCTGTATTCGTCGTTGAATTTCCTGTTCACAGCTCCTGTTTTTATTGGCGGTGCCGCCTAAATAAAGAAAAACATATTTTCTGCGATATTGTTTTTCAGTATTGTATTCTTTGAGTATTGTATTCTTCTCCTTACTCTCTTATGTTTGGTTTAATATTTTATCATCAGCAATTTGTAGTCACTGTTACACACTATACCTGGGGAAGTTTTGGCTGACTCGATTGTATACCATCGGTTTTGAATTCATATAAAATCAATTTAATTCTTTGTACGACCATAAAGTGACATTCGCGTGTACAACTTCTATAAATATTGTTGAAATAGAGTGTTTTTAATGACAGTTGTTATTATTGCTAAAGTTTTTCCCGTTAATTCTTGTTTGCAATGCCAAAAAGTCAAGCAAAGTGACCATCACTGTCCAATCGATTTCAAAACTTAGTGTTAAAATTTCAGATATTGATAATAATTACTTCACCCGATATTTTATTCATTGTAGTCTCGAGAAGGTTGTAGAAGCCTTCGATTTTGTCTTCTTGTGTTATGAATGTAACTTTGGATAGGGTTTATGTGGATGAGCGTGCTTTAACGTGGACAGATATTCGATCGTTCATAGCATTGCATCGAAGACATTAATATTGTTTTTAATTAGAACAACAACTACATTATAATGTTTTAAACATGAATAATAGACTGTATAATCATCATGAAGAAAGTATCTTTGTCCACGCCAGTGTGTCTTACCTAAACCTGACACTGAAAGCTTGTTTAGCATGCAGTACCTTGTGGTCCAAATCGGCATGACTAGTAGGTAGTACATTTCATACTATCTACGCAGAACATCGATAATATTAAATCGATATTTTATCAATCCTGTAAAGAACTATTTTCCTTCAGGCGTGAGTCACTAATAATATAACAGCTGTCTTATGCCATACTCAGTTCATTCACGAGTGCTTATTTGGGAACACCATGTTCACACCTATCCTACATAGCTCTATCAGCCATTGCGACAAACCGTGCCGGGGTTGAGGATTCCTCGTCCGTCCGTCTTTCGTGAAGTACAGAAGAAACACTACTTAATTAAGAACTCTTCCACGCAAGCCTGGACACGGCAAATATTTATTCAAACGCCTTATTTTTATTTATTATATATTAGTTCGCCATATTTCCATAAGTTTCTACGATAATGTCTTTATTTAAATGTTTGTCTCAGAGACCTCAACGGGTACTGATGCCTTAAAAATTATAAATGGGTAATGTAGGACTGATATAAATAAAACACCAAATAATCAACATCATAATATATTAAATTTTCTATACGCTGAATATACAACAACCATTCGTTTTAATAGTAAATAAATTAAATATAAATTCAGTCACTTACATTCTTTATAAAAATCACAAAATGAGGAATCATTAAAAATCATAACATTTCTGTATATATATATTATACAATTCTTGATGGAATTGAGTCAAATTCGATACATGTAACTTTTCTTTAAAAATGATACCTTTCTCATGGAACTATGTATTTCATGGATGATGCAGCAGCAAAAAATTATTTTGGCATTACTGATAGTCAGCAGACTTCATTAGAAATTTTAAACCGCAACCATGCTGTTACTGTTTAAAATTTAAGATTTCCCGCTTAAAAACGAATACCCTCTATACGTAACTGTCAATACAAATTTCATTACATCTTAAGTATTACTTTATTCTATATATGGGTGGAACTTCCTGAACTCGCGTGGTGCACCACACATGGGATAACAACATATGTTAACGATAGCTTTTGATTACAATATATTGATAGCAATAGAATTGAAACTACAACGGGTTCGATCACCAGCATCTCCACCAACAAGTTATCCTGTCAACTACATGAAGCCATCAATTGAAGCCTGCCTTGCTCTACCTTTCCTTAAAGGCTGCTCTGAACAATACTAGGAAGGATTAACGACAGGAGGGAAGACGACGCATATCTTGGGTCAAAATTTTTGGCAGTGAACCGCCAAAACATCAAAGTGTTTAGGGCAGTAAAAAAGTATTATCATATTTCTTTATTATAAATAATTACTTGTCGTGTACTACTTTAAATGCATCCAAAGACTTGTTGACTGTTGATTTTTTAAAACACCCAGAGTTCCGTTCATTAGATCACAAATAAGATAGGTATTACTTCTAAAGAAAAGTTAAAAATTTGAATATTCTAGTAAACTGTTTTCGAAATATATATTTATAATATATTATTTAATAACATTTCGAACTGATTAAAAAACAAATTATTCAAATTTCAAGAAGAATATAATTAAAAAGGTCAAAATTTAAATATAATATGACATAGCACTATAAAAAAGTAATGAAAAAAGGAGATCTTATAGTTGATAGGATAAATCTCAATTCAACTTTGTACATTTCATTTCCATAAAATCTTTACAAACATGTTTTATGAAGCAATTTTGCTTAATGGACTTCAAAGTACACAGACTTAGCATAATTACCTATTCGGCAGTTCAAAAGTTTTTGTCAAAATAATATTTTTGGCTTTATTCTAAAATTCTTTCTTTAGAATCGTCATAGATTGGAATATTTCAAACTTTTATTTTTATCTGTACACGGTATACAAGCAATTTAAAAAATTGAAAATAATTAATTATTTGTTCCACATCACAAAGCCAGAATCAATTATCATTACATACATTAATGTTATTACTGTATAACTAATATTAAAACTAAGTAACCATTTTAAAAGGACAGTTTGAATGTCAGAAAATTATATTTCTATCTTAAAAATTATTCACTGGATAAGAAGATATTAATTAAGGTTGCCACAGCAATATACTAACATGTAAAGAGAACATTCCCCCTAGTTGTAGTTCCCTGCACATTGGAACAATGAGAAACTACTTAGTGTAAATATCCATTTGTGTGAACGTAAATGGAACTGTCGCCTTGGTTACTGCCAAAAATCAGATGTTGCATACACAATCACACAAGATAAACAGCAATTTTAATTTGAAGAAACTCTGGTGCTTAATACCATTAAACTACAATCCATGGATATTCATAGAGACTATCAAAATATGGAAACACCATCTTATTAATTGTGCAAATCAGTTTAAAAAATTGTATTAACGATAGGTATGTATAATATTCTAAAAGATTTGCATGCCATAGGAATACACAACTGATGAAAAGGTATGATTGACCGAAGCACGTGGAAGCAAGTCGTACAGGCAACGAAGACCTACGAGATAGTGAGGGAAAGACAGGATTTGAATACTCAGATTTCACCATGCCTTATCAGGCAAACATACAAAAATTAAAATTGATAGAATCCCCAAATTGTTCATGCGGAGAAATTGGGAATCTCAAATATATGATATTCGGTAATAAAAAATATAGCCACAGATGTAAGGATGCTAGACAATGTGTTGACAAAATATAAAAATTCAAAGAAACCTTATGATCTACTACAAATTTTAATGACTTTACGAAAGCCTTTTTTGAGCACATGTTGAGAATAAAAGTAAATGTCATAGCTAGGTTTGTGATGTGTCTAAATCACTAAAGACCTCCAAGTGTCCTGTGTATAAAAAAAACTAAAGAGGAAAAAAAGAAAAATCAAAAGATGGAAAACACCAAAATAAACAGAAATAAAAAAAAACAAAAGTTCAAAGAAAACGTAATAACGATTAGAACATATGTAGAGATATACGTAGTAAACGGAATCACAAATTATAAAAATTTTGACTTTAGTTAAAACAAGAAATATGGCAACACCTGTAAGAGACATCTTTTGAAGCGATTGAAGGCTACGGTTGTCAAACAAGCTAAAAAGAAAGAAATGTTCACGAAATCGGCGAAACCAATACTGACCCAGTGATGTATTCAGTTTAGAGTAAATAGGTAGAAGAATTTAAGTTACGGACTTTTAACATATCACGAGAAATGTTTAATGGCCAATTCAAGATTATTATTTACTTGTACACATATATATCTAGTGGCTAAAGTGGAAAATTTTGGTAGATAGAACTTAACAAGTAAGGCATCATTGAAATTAAAAATATTTAGTGGAATATGCAATGCATATGCAAATATGCAATGTACTATAATTTAATGAGGTAGAAATGCCAAAGTGTTTAAACAGATTATGGTTTAGTCATAACTCAGGTATTTTTAAAATAATCTACTCAAAATGAGAAACTGGAAACATTGCTCTATAAGTACAAATAATTTAAAGGAATACTGAAAAATGTGACAAAACCAGTTACACAATGTGGAAATCATTTATTTAACGAATAATATTGTTTGTGTGTTTATTTTAAAGATGTATAAAAACGCTAGGACATGTCAACTTTTAAATTCAAATGCGCTTTAAACATTAAATGTACAGGGTGATTCACGGAAGTCTAGCATGGTCCATCATCTTTATTTTTAATGAAATACGTTCTTATTGTAAATTTTTGCAAAGAAATAGATTTAGAGCCAAATAATTTTGTGAATTTAAAATATGCTCTCTTTACATCTGTTGATGTGGAAAGAAGTTTCTCAATTTAAAAATTGAGTACAACAGATAAAAGCCAAAATTTTTTATTGGAAAATTTTGAAAAACATGTGGTCATTTTATTGTTTTCATAATTCCATAGAACAGAATTTTACTTTTTAACTACTTTCATTACAATTAATTAGTATATTTGAATTACCTACATAGTTTTTAAATTTGTTTATATTTGTGTACTAATTATTAAAATAAACATTAATTAATATCATTATTAAATATATGTGTGAATTGAGACCATGCATATTTTCTAAAAAATGCATATTTAATACATATTTTTGGGTAAATTTGTTTATATATTTATGCGCATTTTTTTTCACTTTTTTTTTGCATATTTGCCTTAACTCTATTCACAATAGACCCTACGTAATATAGTTTATTGAGATACGGTTAAGGAGCTTTTAGAAACAGAAATATACAGGGTGTTTCATTAAAAATAATTCAAATATGGACTATACTAGAATTGCGTGAATCACCCTGTACATTAAAATATATGTTTAAAAACCGCACATTTGTATTAAAAAATTGAAGAGTCCCACGGTTTTTCATAATTTTCTAAAATAAAGACACAAACGAAATGTTTATTTTGTATCATATTTCTTTCATACGAAATTAAAACAAAACCATCAGATCGGCCGTTGGAAAAGTCAATGAATTCACGATAATTGGCAACACTTACAACAATGGTTACACTCAAAAAATAAATAGAAAAAGAGAAGAAAATAATAAGATGAAGAACAAGATCAAAAATGAGTAGGAGATAGAAAGTGAAGTTAGATTTTAGTTACGATAGTTTCGAAATTTTCTACCCAAATCCCCCATTAATAAACAATACCTTTAATCTGTGTGGTTTATCTTGTTAACGTATATGTTTAATCAGGACCTAGTTTAAATGACTTTGTTTTGAATTAATTAACTAAAAAATGATAACAAATTTTGTAAAAATCATACTTTTCCATGTATATCATGCAAATATACTTTTTTCTTATAACCTCTTTTCGAAAACAGATATATTAGTACTAAGATTAACATAAAACAGGCTAAATAAAGTATAAAACAAAATGCTGTGTCTACGGTTTTAAAAAATCGTGGTTCAGATTTGTAATCTGGAGAACCATCAAGTCCTAGATGCAATATTCTTGTATCTGCACCAATATATCGCACATTAATACTAGTGTAGACGTGTTTGAGATAGTAAAATATTTCTGGAATGTTCCAAGTATTTTCTTTAGTGTAACACCTCGGGCAATTTACTTTGGAGGGAAATTGGTATTTGGGATATTCGGGATCTTCCGTTTCGTCTCCCGATAATCTTTTGTTTACTTCATTGTGGGCGCTCCACAACCACAAAACAGAATCATCCCACGACGATACATTAAATAGGGCTCTTCTTCTGGCCAAATCTTGGAAATGTTGACTGCAATCATAACAACCAAAAAAGGATTTGATATAGCCGTGCATCGCTTCGAGAACAATTCTAGGATTTGAACCAATAGCTTCGTCAGCGGCGTTGACAGTCAAATAATGGAATAGCTTCCACAAGCCACAAGTATAACCTCGATAATTATCTGCGCTACCTTTACAACCTAACCACTGTTGTGGCGAAGAAAACACTAGTTGATTTTCCATTTCCGCGTGCTTAAGAAAATTTGCAATATCAGAGCCTTTAACTGCAGTTTTGTACCACACAAACTCTTTTAAGTCGTGAAGGAATAGTTTTCCATTTCTTCCAAAAGGAAAATACTTGTAGAGGACATTTATATAGTTTTTAAGTGCTTGTAGTCTCTCGTCAGTAATTTCCTTAACCAGTCCCACCTCATGTTTAAGGGAATACCTAAGAGTAGATTCTAAATCCATTTGGAAGACTACATCGCCCATCTTCTTTATTTTATCTTTCAACCTGGCTCTTTCCCTTTCTTCTAAGAAATTAGCTACATTATTTACCTGTTTATCCTCTCTATGATTAATTAGTTCTTCATTACTATTAGCTGTTTTATGTGGATCTATATATTTTTGAATAGCATTTTTAATCGATTCAGTGTTGGCTTTAGCATCTAAAAGTTTGTGAGTTTCATCTTTGTTTATAACTACTAATGCTGGAAAACTTGTAACGCCAAATTTAGTTACTAAATCTGTTTCATTTTTTAGAATATACCTAACATTAACGTTCTTAACTTTATGTAAATCCATCATAACTTCTTGACCTACATAATCGGAGACATTTTGTTGTACAACAAGAAACGCGAGATCATTGTCAATTGTAAACAAATCTTTGAGACTACCTGTAAAAGGTTGAAGTGTAGGGAACATTTTACCCCTATCGGCAATTTGTTCATTCAGTATAGTATTTAAAAGAATACGTTTGTGTGCTGCTGCATCTCCTCCTGCTTGAAGGTTCAATCCTAGATTAGTGGGGCCCTCTTCGTACATCTCATGGAAATATTTAAGAGTTGGATAGCCCATAATTTCAAATTCTCTGCATATTGCGGTGTTAGTTTCATCCGAACAGTCTATGGCACCTACTCCTACTAAACCTAAAACATGCATGAGATAAAACGCTTAAAATAATATAATTGAAATAATTTCAAATAGTTAACAACAATTCTATTACATTAAAATAATGAAACTATTGTACAAATTCAAAATTGTAGGTGTTAAGTTCTTACAAATGATGGTGACGTTACAGCACTATTCTGGGTATTTCAATAGCGTAAAAAAAATTTCATAAGGGGTTGAGGTAAAAACCAAAGGAGAAGAATATTCACATATCCTTATAGTTCAGTAGTTCAAAGTACTACTTGTCAAATATAGTTTGGGATTTGACGATTTTGCCATCTGGGTAGAAAATTGTGAGAGAAAGTGAGAAGACATTCTGAAGAAAAGGAAGGCATAATGCGTTGTTTCTCCTCCCCTCGTTGGTACAAGTTTGGAATGCACCTCAAAAATATTGACAGTATCATTTTAAAGTCATCTACTTCAAAATTTATAATATATGTCTGAATTGTCAATATAAATGAGGCAGGTAAACTGGTAAAATTAAATTATTAGAACTTTTTTATATTACCAAGTAACAAAACAAAATAATTTGCTAAATTTATACTTTGAGGATGATTTCCGAAGTCGAAACGTCAAAAAAAACGTATTTTAAAGTAGAAGCAAAGTTCCCAGATACTTGTGGCCAAGACAGTATGTACTTACAGAAGAAGAACTGTGTCAAAACTTACATAATGAGTCAACAACTGGATACTAAAACTAAATTAAAGAACTGTGTCAAAACTTATATAATGAGTCAACAACTGGATACTAAATCCACAGTAATGGGCTTAGATTTGTAAATAATGTATTTGATGAATATAGTAGTGATAGAACTCTTAGTATTTATCATGTAGAACTCTTTTAAATTTGTAATTATGTGTTGATTTTATTAAAGATTAGGCACCAAGAGAAAATGTTATTCAAACCTCAAGTAAATATAGACAAGCAGTGCATGTCATGATACAGTGTATCAAAAGAAGAAATGAAGTAAGTTTGGTGTGGTAAAATATTTTTTTCGATCTCTAGAAAATATTTGTTTATCTTGTGGGGAATATTCAGTACTATGCTATTCTATAAATATGATTAGCTGCATTTCTTATCATTATATGTGCATTTTTTGTTTCGGTTATACACAATAAAGATTAATTTATTTACTGCTTATATTAATTACTTATTATTCATTACAAAAAGATTAATTAATATCCATTTCGTAATTCCTAATCACCAAATTGATTTATGAATCAATTAAATAACTCATTGTCAGCAACAAGAGTGCCTTCAAAAATATGTCTTCAATATATTGTCTACTTAAATTTTTTTAACTAGTGCTATCTGTATATTCGAAAATATATACAGATTTTTTCTCTTACCCAATATTTCTGAAACACTGTTCAGAATTGGTTTACTTAAGTATGATTTGCACACTATTTAACCAAAATCTAATTCACAGTTTTCTTCTGGAAACCTATTATTATTATCTTACTTATTACTTATTATCTATACTATAATATATGGTTATACAAAATATTATTAGAAGGTGCACAGAGAGGTTAAAAATAGACTATACAACCTTACACAATCTACAAGACTAAGGCCTATGGATAAAACCAGAATAATATCAAATTCTTAATTATTGTTTGTTTTGAAATGGTTTATGAATCAAATTTATCAAATTAGTCCTGTTTACATAAAAAATGTTCTAAATTTTGAACACTAGACAATCATTTTGAACAAATTCTATGTATAATTTTATGGTGTTGGCTAGTAATAAAGCTTTAGTCCATATTTTGTCTTTCTGTTATTTGTGCCAGTCCCATTCACAATATGTCTTGGTGTCTATGACTTGTCTAGTCAACTGAAATACACCATTTAAAATTTTTTCATCTAATACTTAATACAGTAAAAAGCCTAGCAGCACTGTTACTGTATTATTTTGATTCAAGTTCCAAGTTCCAAAAGTACCATTTATTACTTCTTTCTACACATTTAGTATTTGGATTTTGATTCACCTTCCTGTTACTTCTATATTTTCTTTGTTTTCAAATTAATTGGAAAGAGTTCTATAAAAAATTTTATTCTTGTCTAAGTAACCATACTATTTGATTTTATTATTTAAATAATATATTTTTTAATTATGTATCTTTGATCTGTTCTGAAAAAACACACTTGCAGCCTTAGACTTTTTTAAGATTAGATCGCAGATGACATATTTTACATTGAAAAGGTTGTGTGAGAAAAAATACCAAAAAAAAACTTCCAAATACTAAGTAAGGATGGTGTATTTACAGTCAGGTGATGCTCTAGATAAATAAAAAAAATACTTTATATTTACCTTTCCAATCCTTTATGTCTGTTGCAAACTCTTTCCAACTAGGTGCAAATCGTTGGCAAAACCCACACCAAGCATTGTAGAATTCAATTATCCATGCTCTTTTGTTACCATAAAGTTCACTTTTAAAATTATCTACTGTTAGAATTTCAACGTCGTCATTTAAATAATAAAGACCAATTTTTTCTGAATACTTCTTATAATCATTTGAACTCATGGAAAATATACCTACATTAGCTTTATCCTTCACAGTTTTCATGATGCCTGCATTGTTGGAAAATCCAAAAAGTGCACACAAAATTAAGAAATTGTAAATTATTGTAGACGAATATTTATGTGACATATTTTTCAGGAACTAATTTTTAGGATGAAACTATCTGTTTATCACTTTATTTAAAACATATGTCTTCTTGAAAAAGTTGATGTTTTCTAAGAAACAAACGGAAAAAAGTTGGGTTAGGGTTTGTTTGTTGATATCACTTGACAACTCTTATGTCAAATCAGTCAAACAGTGAAGGAGGGATTTATTTGGATTTATGGTACAATATTATTATTATTTACAACGCTTCATTATTTGCGAATTAAATTAAATTATATATTGATATTTTATTACAATTTCTTAATCATTTAAAAACTCATTTATAAACTAATTAAACTTTTTATTCAACTATTACTTTTTATGAATTTAATTATCCAATCATTATTCAGCACGTAAATCAGATTAATGTGGCGCAATCTACATTATCTTTTGAATACAATGCGAATGCGAATAAATTAAACTGAACTAAACATCGCAATGTAATTTCGACGTACTTAAATGAAAAATTCCATGGCAATTATTAAAATGATACTTTGAATAGGAACGTAGGTTTGGACGTAGGATCCAAAGACAGGAAACATGAAAATTGTGAGAAGTCTAAGTTATAATACCTACAAATTTGTAGTAGCTGTGAAGATAATTTAATCTAAATATTATTTATTATTCTTTTTTAACTCTATTTGAAGATTTACTAATATTATTTTATTAATACCTCTAAAGAAAAAAGTAGATTCCTACCTATTTATTGCAAAAATAGTACATTGTTTACCGGGTAGGAAAAGCTTAACATTCCTGGACGACTGTGAAGATTGCTAAGTCGAGGCGCAAGCCGAGACTTAGCAACACAGAGTCCAGGAATGTGGCTTTTCCTACGAGGTAAACATACTATTTTTCCGCAAATCGTTTAAAATTCGACAGATATTGATTGATTTAAAAAAAAAACGCGATAATTTTATTCCCAAATAAATGGTGCTTTGAAATTCCTAATAAAATTACTTGGGTTACTATGGAAACGTATTGAGGTTGAATTGTCAAACTTGACGCTTATAAATTTAATTGCTGGTGTTCTCGAAAGTAAAATGATAAGTGATGATGAAATTTCCATTCCTGGGACTCCTCCAGAGCTGGTTGAGGCAGTGAATACTGCTTCATTAGAATTATTGCCAAAGAAATCAAGAGAAAAGTACGAAAATGTATACAGACGTTTTATGGATTATCGCATGAGTAAAAATACGAGTTCTTTCTCAGAAAATGTTGTAATGGCATACTTCCTAGACCTTTGTTTAAAGATGAAATCTTCAACATTATGGGCCAATTATTCAATGCTGAAGTCAACCCTTGCACTTAAACACAATGTAGATATATCTACATACTCAAAACTTCGTTCCTTATTGAAACGGCAAGCTCAAGGTTATAGGGCAAAGAAATCTAAGATTTTAACGAAGGAAGAAATTGAAAAATTTATCCAGGAAGCTCCAGATAAAGAAAATTGGTAAAATTCAAGGAAACCGGGGACGGTAAATACAAGTTAAATCTTGAAATATTTGTTATGTATGGCTTCCTACTCACTTTATAATGCTCTAAAAATTGCGGATTCTGTATTTTAACGCACATTTTTTCTGTAACTCTCGTTTAAAAATTACCAAAATCGTAAAAAATAGGAAATTACTATAAAAATGTAAAAATATAAAACTACTTACAAAATCATATGAAATATATATAAATAAATATAAATACTAATATTTATGGTCTAAACCATTAAAAAAGTAAAAATTTTGACAAAAAGTCATAGTTTATTAAAATTGTCAAAAGAACTCTGGGCATCTGCCTAATAATTATAATTCGACATACATTCGCAATGTTGCCACGTTTATAATTGCTTTGTATGGGGTATATTATAATTGCGTTTTACAATAAATTGTAAAAATTTGAAATAACAATATATTATGAATTTGAAATTAGAATATATAAGAATTTGTAATAAGAATATATAAGAATATATACTTAAGAATTTGAAATAAGAATATATAACTAATATAACCAAACCTAACCAAACCCAACCTAACCTAACCCAACAAAACCAAACCCAACCCAACCTAAACTAACATAACCCAACCTAACCTAAACTAACCCAACCTAACCTAACCTAACCCAACCTAACCTAACCCAACCTAACCTATCCCAACCTAACCCAACCCAACCTAAACTAACATAACCTAACCTAACCCAGCCTAACCTAACCTAACCAACTAAACCTAACCTAACCCAGCCTAACCTAACCTAACCAACTAAACCTAACCTAACCCAGCCTAACCTAACCTAACCAACTAAACCTAACCTAACCCAACCCAACCTAAACTAACATAACCCAACCTAACCTAAACTAACCCAACCCAACCTAAACTAACATAACCTAACCTAACCCAGACTAACCTAACCTAAGCTGATCAAACCTAACCTGATTAAACCTGACCTGATCAAACCTGACCTGATCAAACCTAACCTGATTAAACCTGACCTGATCAAACCTAATTCAACGCAACGAAAAACAAAATATTTTCTTTTTTACAAAATAAAATTTTCTTGTACATATTTATATTTTTACAAAATTTTGCAAAAAACAATATTTTTTGAAAATATGGCAACAGTGGTGGAAAAGTGACATGACATTAACAACAGTATAATCAAAATGGACGAATTATTTGAAAATTGATGTCAAAACACGCAATTTTTAAACGAGAATTATAGAAAAAATATGCATTAAAATACAGAATCCGCAATTTTTAGAACATTATAAAGTGAGTAGGAAGCCATACATAACAAATATTTCAAGATTTAACTTGTATTTACCGTCCCCGGTTTCCTTGAATAATACCAGAAAATTTAATGATTAAGGTAATTTACAAGGTTTTAATTTCTATTTAGATTATAGCTTTATTTATTTTTTAGGTGGCTGTAATATTTGGTATTTCTGGGACCTGTAGAATGGATGAGTTAGTCCGAATGACTGTACACGATATAGAAGACTTAGAATCTAAGCTTTTAATCAGCATACCTGATTCGAAAATCAACAAACCAAGATCATTTGTAATTAATCAGATCTACTTGAATGTTTATCGAAAGTATGTTCCGTTAAGACCAGAAAATATGAACAGTGACCGATTTTTCTTTAAATATCAAAGCGGAAAGGGTTGTAGACAAGTGGCAGGAATTCATCAATTTAGAAAAATGCCCAAAATAATTGCTACTTATTTGAACTTGGTAAATCCGACAGAATATACTGGTCACTGCTTTCGTCGATCTTCTGCAACAATATTGGTTGACTCTGGTGCCGACATAACTAGTTTAAAGAGGCATGGCGGATGGAAGTCATCAAACGTTGCTGAAGGATATATCGAAGAATCGCTTAACAATAAGGTTGAGGTGGCAAATAAAATTTTCACAGTACAAAATATTCAACAAAATGACACTTCCACCCTGCATGTTGTCCAAAATGTTTCTCATAGTTCTAAGAGTGTTCCTCCAATGTTCAATAATTGTACTAACTGTCAAATTACTGTAAATATAACAAATTGATCTTAAAAATGTATTCAGCAATGACTTGATGTTTTCAAAATATAAATTAATTCCTTATAAGCAATGTGTTTTCTATCATTTATGTAGAACACTAACAACTGTACGGAAATATCATTTCCTTACAGTAAGGAAATGACATTTCCTTACAGTAAGGAAGTCCTGACTTTTTCTTCAAGAAATTTTGACAGGAATGTCAAAATTTCCTGGCGATTTGCGGAAAAATAATTTATTTTCTTAATCAAAATAAGTATCTACTTAAAATATCTACTATAAGATGTTTAAAAGATTGGTACCCATACAATTGTGTATAGTCCAGTCGTCAGAGAGTTGACCTCTAAAAATCATACGAACTATAGCTAAATTTTGCAGAGAATATTAATTTTGGGACCACAAAAAAGATGCTAGAAAGTTTAGCACTTTTACCCCGGGCTTCCCCCTGAAACCCCCCACGCAGGGAACTTAAAACAAAAAAAAATCGATTTACCAAGAATCTGTACACCGTAGGAAGAAATGTTTCAAATAAAAAATGTAGCTGAGAAATTTTTAACAAAAATGGTTATAAGCATTTTTTATGCAGAATGAACCGTTCTCTGAGAAACAACGCTTGAAGCGACCGTCGATTTTGCATGTCAGTTACGCGCGCGAAATCAATGTTCGATATTTGATTTTGCCCATATTATAATTTTGTCCGACTCCTTAGCAGTGATAAAATCTATCGGTAAATATGTACCTACTACCAAACTTACAAGACTGCCGATACATTTATAGAATTAAACATATTATTCAAACTCTTTTAACCAAAGGAATCAATGTACATTTTCTCTGGATTAAAGCACATGCAGGATTTGAACATAATCATAATCAATAACACGTTTTCATTCTCACTAAATCCGTTTCTAATCTTCCAACACGCAAATACCATCTTCTCTGTGATCTTGCTTTTCTTAAACCATGTCGTGACTATCAAAGTCATTCCGCAATATCTTCAAATTTAACATCACACTAAATCTTCATCAATTTTTAAAATTCTTAGAGCAACTGGTTTTTCGCTTGGTAGAAATTCAATTCTTTTCACCCGACGCAACTTAGATTCAACAAATTCCCAACTTCTGAAAACCTACAACGATATTCACTCTTTCAATATCCACCCATTATAATGGGACACTTTCGATCGTATTTTTCACCAAAAAGCCCAACACATTTCTGACAACAAAACTCAAACTCAGAAACGCAAACTGGACCAACTTATATCTCAGCAAAATCCACAGTCTATTTCAAATCAACAACCCTCTACTGTTCGCAATTTTTCACATATCCGATTCAGCTACTAAAGCTCTGTCAAAAGGCTTCAATTTTGCTGCCACTCCTCTTCCATACTAACAGAGAAAATTATTTGTCAAACTGAAGAATATATTTCTCATCTTCCTTGCGACCAAGCCGAAATTGCC